GTGAACGTTATATTTCCGGAGAAAGAATAAGTAAGAACAATGATAAATGAAAGCCGGAACCTTAGGTCTTTTCGGGGACAAGATGTGGATAGATACGTAAATAGATTAATAGATAAATATGAATGTAGGTAGGTAGATAGGTAGAGAGAGAGAGAGAGAGAGAGAGAGAGAGAGAGAGGATGGGGAGGAATACAGACAATTTAGACATACAGACATAGAAAATATGGTAAAAAAAAAAAAAAATGAAAAGAAACAGACAGACAGACAGACAAACAGACAGACAAGAAAACAACCAAACCAACACCCAAACAGACGCACAAGTCCAGAAATAAAAACAGACCCCAGACTCCAGCAAAAGAGAGAAAAGCAGCAGGGAACCGAAAAATGTGTGTCAAGGAACATGAAGAGGTTGCTAGCCGAGAGTCAAGAGGATGAGGAAGGGAAAGATCTTAGTCTTAGAAGAGGAGGAGGTAGAGGAGGCTATTTCTGGCAAAGAGGAAATAACCTAATGATCTTGGCTGACGGATGCTGTCTGATGTAAGCCTTTATTCCCTGTGTCAGTTTTGGAGTGCCAGTTATTGGGTGTATGTGTGGGTTATTTTATTAAATGAAGGGAAATGGTGAAAAGTGAGAGACGGAAGGAGAGAAAAGAAATTAAGGGATTAATTTCATAGTAATGATGATGATAGAGATAATATTGATGGTGATAATCATAATAATAATGATTATAAAAGTGATAGTAATATCATGGTACTAATAATAATGATAAAATTATTTATGAAAATAATAATAACGATGATAATAATTATAGTAATAATGATGATCATAGTAATAATTGTTGATAATGATGGTAACAATGATAATGATCAATATCATTGTATAACTGTTAGTATGTTTTTTTTCTATTAATTTCTGTTATTTTCTATCATCATCAGTTTTATCCTTAATATTATTATCATAATCATTATTATTATCACTATTATTATCATTATCATCATAATCATAATCATTATTATTATAATTATTGTCATTATCATTATCATCAGTTTTATATGTTATTTCTTTATGTTGCAATTATTTTGTTATTATCATTATTATTATTAATATCATTATTGTTATTATTAATATCATTATTGTTATTATTATCATTATCATTGCTATTATTATCATTGTTGTTGTTATTATTATTATTATTATTATTATTATTATTATTATTATTATTATTATTATTATTACTATTGTTATTATCATTATTATTATTATTATTATTATTATCATTATTATTATTATTATCATTTTTGTTGTAGTTGTTGCTGATTTTCTTGTTCTGATTACTATTATCATAAACATTATTGCTATTATTATTATTCTTTACAATTATTATTACCATTATTATTGTTGCCATATTTATTAGTAGTATCATTTATTACTTTTTGTATTGTTGTTATGGCTATTATTATCATTGTTATTGAATCTATCGTCACGATTATCATCACTATCATTATAATTATTATTATTATTATCATTATTATTATCATTATCATCATCATTATCATTTTCATTATCATTATCATCATTATAATTATCATTATTATTATTATTACTATTATTATTATTATTACATTATCATTATTATTATTATTATTACTATTATTATTATTACATTATCCTTATTATTATCATTATTATTATTATTATTATTATTATTATTATTATTATTATTATTATTATTATTATTATAATCATTATTATTATCATCATCATCATCATTATTATTACTGTTATTATTATTATCATTGTTATAATTATTATCATTGTTATAATTATTATTACTATTATTATTATTATTGTTATTATTATTGTGACCATCATCATAATTGTTATCACTATTATTAATATGATTATGATTATTATCACTATTATTATTATTATTATTATTATTATTATTATTATTATTATTATTATTATTAGCTTTGTTATTATTATTATCATCATTATCGTTATTATTATTAATATTATTATTATTATCATTATTATTATTATTATCATTGTTATTATCATCATCATCATTATCATTATTATTATTATTATTATTATTATAATTATTACTACTATTATTATTATAATTACTATTATTATTATTATCATCATTATTACCATCATCATCATTTTTATCAGTATTATCAAGATCATCTGAATAAAAATGAGAGAGATTTAGAGACAGACAGAAAGAGAGAAAGAGAGAGAGAAGGAGAGGAGAGGACAGACAGACAGACAGACAGACAGACAGACAGACAGACAGACAGACAGACAGACAGACAGACAGACAGACAGACAGACAGACAGACAGACCGACAGACAGACAGAGAGACAAAGAAAAAAACGTCCTACAACAGAAGCCAACGACAGGAAAACGAAAGAAATAGAGCAGTAAAGGGAAATTAGAGAGAAGAAGATGGAAAATGTGGCTTTTGTGTATGTGTGTGGTAGACGGAGTATTTTGTAAGTGTGGTAAGAAAGGAATACGTGATATAGTGTGATGGGATAAGTGTGTTGTTATTTATGTGATCTTCGGATTTGTTATTGTTCTTGTTCTTCGTCTTTTGTTTTCATTTCTTCTTTTTTTCTCTCTCTCTTTTTTCTCTTCTTCTACTACCTCTTTTTCTCTTCGACTTCTACTATTTTTTCTCTCTTCTTCTTCTTATACATTTTTTTTTCCTTTTCTTCTTTTTCTCTCTCTCTTCCTCTTCTCTCTTCCTCGTCTTCTTTTTTTCTCTTCTTTTTTCTTTTTCCTCTACTTCTTCATCTTTCTTTTCCTGTTTTTTTTCCTCGTCTTCTACTTCTTCTTCTCCTTTTTTCTCCTCCTCCTCTTCTTCCTCTTCTTCTTCTTCTTCTTCTTCTTCTTCTTTTTCCTATATTCGCTTTCTCTTCCACTTTCTTCTTCTTCTACCTTGTTTCTTTTCCCCTTATTTTTCCTCTTCTTCTTCATCATCATTCTTCTCCTCTTCTCCTACTTCTTTCTCGTCTTCTACTTCTTCATCCTTTTTTTCCTCCTCCTCCTATTCCTCTTCCTCTTCTCTTATTTTCTCTTTTTCTTCCTCTTCTTCATCTTCTTTGTTTCTCTTCCCTTTCTTTTTTTGTCTTCTTCTTCATCTTTCTTCCCTTCTATTTTTTTTCTCGTCTTCTACTTCTTCCTTTTTCTTCCTCTTTCTCCTCCTCCTACTCCTCTCCCTCTTCTTCTTTTTCCTCTTCTTCATCTCTCTTCTTTTCTTCTCCTACTTTTTTTCTCGTCTTCTACTTCTTCCTTTTTCTTCATCTTTCTCCTCCTCCTACTCCTCTTCCTCTTCTTCTTTTTCCTCTTCTTCATCTCTCTTCTTCTCTTCTCTTCTCTTCTTCTTCTTCTCCTACTTTTTCTCGTCTTCTTCTTCTTCTTCTTCATTTTTCTTCCTCTTTCTCCTCCTCTTATTCCACTTCTTTTTCTTCTTCTTCCTATTGTCTCTTTCTCTTCCACTCCCTCTTTTTTGTCTCCTCCTTCTTTAAAAAATCACGTTCTGTGTTCTCCCCCCCCCCACATCATTAACATCGCCATCTTTAATAATTTTTTTTTATAGATTGTTTTAACATAAACGAAGAGAAGGAACTAAGCCGCCCGGAGCTTCCTTACTTTATCCTCTCTGGCGAAAATATACTCGATATATTATAAGATATGCGGTAGATCAGACACTAAGCGCGTACTTTCGGCGTCCCCTTTAAATGGTGATAAAGGAAAGGAATAGAGAGATAAGAAAGAGGATATTATATGTATTTGAAAAAGGATTGAAAAATCTCTCTTTCCTCGACTTCCCTCAGCCCCCTTCCATTCCACCTCCCCCCCCCCCCCCCCCGCGTGCTCCCTCCCTTGTCCCCCACCCCCCGCGTGCTCCCTCCCTTGTCCCCCCCCCCCGCGTGCTCCCTCCCTTGCCCCCACCCCCCCTTTGCCCTATCGCCCCGGTCTCGATAACGCGCGTCGCTAGCTAACCTAATTACTTATATTTTATCCAATTCATTTACAGCTCTCCCTCAGCAACGTAATTACAGGGACCAGAATCCCCCTCCCCCCTTTCCCCCTTCCCCTTTCCTCTCCCTCTCTTCCATTCCTCTACCCCCCCCCTTCATCCCCTCATCCCCTTCCTCTGCCCCTCCTATCCCTCTCCTTCATTCCTCTGCTTTGTTTTATTTCTCTTCGGAGCTCGTCGTTTTAGCTTCTATGTATTAGTCGTCTAATATATGTTTTATGTATATGTAATTTTTTTGTATTTTTATTTTATTTATTTATTTTTTATTTATTATTTCTTTTTTTTCTCCATTATGCTTTCTATTTCATTGTCTTATCTGTATCTCCGTTTCTGAATCTATCTATCTATCAATCTATCTAATCTATCTATCTCTGTCTGCCTCTCTCTCCGTCTCTCTATCTTTCTCTTTCGGTCTGTCTCACTCCGTCTCTCTCTCTCTCTCTCCCTTCTCACTCCTCCCACTCTCGTCCACTTCTCTCTCATTTTCTTTCTCTCCTTCTATCGTTACTCATTATAAGTACTTCCCCCCCAAGCATCCTCTTCAACGCCTCCTTCATCCTCTCCCCCTCCCTCTCCCCTTCTTTTTCTCCCTGTACCCCCCTCCCCCCCCCCAGGACTTAGGCTTTACCCCCCTTCCCCCGTCCCCTCAGCGCCTGCTTCTTCTCCCTACCCCCACCCTTCCCTTCCTGCTCCTGCCCCGGTCCCCTTGCCCGTCCCCAGAGCGCCTACCTCCTCCCCATACCCCTACCTTTCCCCCCCAGGATTCATGCACTGACCCCCCCCCCCCTCCCCGTCCCTACAGCTCCTACATCGGCCCCCTCCCCAGACCCCTCTCCGGCAGGACTCCGGCCCTGTCCCCCTTCCCCGTCTCTAGAGCACCTCCTTTCCCCCTCCCCAGACCCTACTCCTCCAGGACTCTCGCACTAACCCCCCTCCCCCCCACAGAAGCGGCCGTGGCAGCAAGCGGAGCCTGAGGTCGCCGCCCGTCCAGCGCCAGCGGTGTGTGCAGTTGGAGGGGGGCGAAGGCGACGACGACGGGGCGGGGGTGCCAGGCCGGTCTCCCCGCCCTCTCCCCTCTTCGGCCGAGCACAGAGACGTCGTCCTAGAGGTGGGCGCGAGTCGGGTTATGGTGCCTTATATTTATTTCCGTTAAGACTAGTCGGTGGCTTGTTATATCGTAGCTAGTGTTGGATCGCATTGTGAATATGTTGCGCCGCTGGCCTGGCTGAGCTTAACTGCGCTCTTGCAGGTTGACCCCATCCGAGTGACGACCGAGACGCCCTCGCCGGAGGTGCCTGTCGTGGTGGTGGCGACGGCCGAGGGCGGCACGCGCACGCAGGCCCTGTACCGCCTCCGGGGGCGGCCCGCTCAGCCCTCCTCCTACAACCACAGTGCCTCCGCCGGAGACCCGCTCCCGAGAACACACACATATCACAAATACGGCAGCGCCAGCTTCGACCTCGCGAGGCCCAGCGGCTACGAGAAGGCGCGCGCGGCCTTCCACACGAGTCGCAGCAGCTTCGAGGGCGACCGGCGGCTGTCCCTGAGCGCCCGAGGGGCATGTGACAGCTTCGATAAGGGCGTGGGCTCGGGCAGGCACTTGCCATCCATGGAAACGGCGTCCAGGCCGTGCACCAGCGGCAACGCCAACGAGCGGGCGCTGCCGGAGGGCCCGCCGCGAGGAGGCTTCCGCCGTAGCCGCAGCGAGAGGGTAGCCGGCGGGTCCTCGTCGGGCTCGTCGCCGGCGCGCAGCGAGTCCCTCCGTGTGGCCAGGACGCGGCCACGCCTTCAGGACGTCGAGATGACCGAGATCTGCGCACCCCGCAGGATGCACTACGACGAATATAGGTAATGGTCCGACGAAGAGAGAGAAAGAGAGGAAGAGAGAGAGAGGGGGGGGGGGCAAGAGAGAGAGAAAGAGAGAGAGAGAGGGGGGGAGGAAAAGAGAGAGAGAGAGTGAGCGAGAGCGAGAGAGAAAGCGAGAGAGAGCGCGAGAGACCGAGCGAGAGAGAGTGCGAGAGACCGAGCGAGAGAGAGCGCGCGAGAGAGAGCGCGCGAGAGAGAGCGCGCGAGAGAGAGCGAGAGAGAGAGCTAGAGAGAGCGCCTGCGAGAGAGCGTCAGAGAGAGAGCGAGAGAGAGTGTGAGAGAGAGTGCGAGAGAGAGTGCGAGAGAGAGCGTGAGAGAGCGAGAGAGAGAGAGAGAGAGAGAGAGAGAGAGAGAGAGAGAGAGAGAGAGAGAGAGAGAGAAAGAGAAAGAGAAAGAGAAAGAGAGAGAGAGAGATGGAAAAGAGGGAGAAGAAGAAGGGAAAGT